AAGTAGAAATTGTTGAATCATAGCAGTAAATCTATCAATTTAAATTTTACTATTGATAATTAAACCTTTTAATCCTATGGCTAACAGAATAAAATTAACAAGTGTTTTTATTAATATTATTTATAATTGGTTTTATTTTTGTCATATTTCTGATTTATTTAAATTCATTAAGCTAATTTTACAGACAAGCCAATAATTTATTCATTTTATAATTTTCGCTAGATTTCTTTATAAATATTTTTTATATATATTTTTTCTTAATATTCTACAGTTCTCAATGCATACATTAAAATAATAGGCGATGTCTTGTTTTTGTTTTAATTATAGCAGCTTTCTTTGTGTTGTTCGGGTCTGTTTTTCTGTGTCTATCTCGTGCCTTTACACTCTCAAACACACGTACTCGCTCGCCAACACAAACACGCATACATATAAAGAATGCTCAATTTAAAGCCGGCTTTTTTATTTATTTATTTGTTTATGTGCTCGGCTTCTCGCTTGCGTTTGCTTACGATGTCTTCAAAATTAATGCCTTTACTAGTGTATGTGTCAGCGTATAATTATTTCTCTTCTCTTTATACATGCATTCGTTTACGCTCCAAGTCTGGTTTGTGCTCTCCCAGAGAGCGCCACACAGCGACAAAAATATGTACATATGCAAACACAGTGAATTGATTTAAGCGTCGATTAACGCATACAGTGATACGCACACGAATAGAGACTCAGAGCGAAAGCCGCGACAACATACGATATGGATATGGGGCAGCGGCAACGGCAGCAAGCGCAGCAGAGGCTTGGCATCTGTTTGAATGGTCAGCCAACAATCGCGCGCTCAGTGAAAAATGTTGTGTCGTCTCGTCTCTCGTCTCAGTAGCACTAAAATGGTGCGCAAGTCGGATAGAGTTAAATTCCTACTAGTCGCGATATAGGCAGCATTCTGTTGCGTGGCAAAACCAAAGGCGATGCCAGTGGTGGACGTGTCAGTGATGGGGAGGCGGCAATAGTTAGGCGACAGCGCCAAATTCAGCAGCGACGTCGACGACGGGACAACAGCGCCAGCAATACAGCCTCAAGTGATGGTGTGTGTGTGTTAATTTTATGCTATAGTGTTATAGTGTCTACTTTTTCTGTTCTTATTAGTTACAATTTTAAAGGAATATTTATGTTTATTTTTGACTGCTTACAAAGTTCAAGATCAGTGTTATTCAAACTGCACCAATCGCATATTGAATTTTACGTATGCACAGAGAACTGCAGCTTAAATAAACAGTAAACTCTTTTTCGAGCCCTTAAACTGTAAAGCAGTGCTGATCAGCTGCGTGGGCAAGCAGCGCCTATACAACTGTTGTTATTGTGCTGCAGTGCAATCATTTGAAGCTTAAATATTTATTATTATTAAAAATTTGATGCTTTTTGCAAAAAAAGTTAATTAGTATATATATATATACACTCGTAATTTTATTGCGCAAGACTGTAGCTCAACAGGCATGTGTCTAATGCTTTTTAAACTGCGCACTCGCCTATTGCGCTTTAGGCATGCACTGACACAGTATGACTCAAACTGTGAGCTATTCGAGAGCTGCTCAAACTATGGGAGAGTGCTGCTGTTGGCTAAACTGTGGAGGAAAACAGAGTTATATAAATAATGTGAATTACTTTGCATAAAATATTAAAAGAATAGCTATTACATTTTTCTGTACATACATACATATCTATATATATATTTGATTTATAATGTCAATTGCCTTCTCTCTCTCGCACACAGAATCGGCCGAAAGTCAAATAATGCATGCAGATGCTCTGCCTATTGGGCATCCTGCTGGCTCACCCATTGGCCATGCGCTGAGTCCCAATGTCGTTGGCCTCGGCCTTAGCAATAGCAGCAATCAGAGCAGCGAGAATTTCACTCTCTGCAATGGCAACAGCAATGCCAGCAACAACAACAACAACAACATCATGTACTCACCGAACAACAACAACAGCAGTGGCAGCGGGCAGCCAGCAGCAGCAGCAACAGCAGCAGCAACAACAGCAACAACAGCAGCAACAGCAACAGTCGCCGACAGTTTGTGCAATTTGTGGAGATCGGGCGACGGGCAAGCACTATGGCGCCTCCAGCTGTGATGGCTGCAAAGGCTTCTTCAGGCGCAGCGTTCGCAAAAATCATCAGTATACCTGCAGGTGAGTGCAACCAGATGATGACTAGCCCAAGACGCTCTTAAAGCCAACTGTCTCGCATTCGTCAGATTCGCGCGCAACTGTGTTGTGGACAAGGATAAGCGCAATCAGTGTCGCTATTGCCGCTTGCGCAAGTGCTTCAAGGCGGGCATGAAGAAGGAGGCAGTGCAGAACGAACGCGATCGCATAGTTGCCGTCGCACCTCCAATGATGATCCGAATCCAGGCAATGGACTATCGGTTGTGTCGCTCGTCAAGGCGGAGAACGAATCGCGACAATCGAAAGCGGGCGCCGCCATGGAGCCAACATCAATGAGGATCTCTCGACCAAACAGTTTGCCAGCATCAACGATGTCTGCGAGTCAATGAAACAGCAGCTGCTCACCCTAGTCGAGTGGGCCAAACAGATACCGGCCTTCAATGATCTACAGCTGGACGATCAAGTCGCTCTACCTCCGCGCCCATGCTGGTGAGCACTTGCTGCTTGGTCTCTCGCGCCCGCTCTATGCATCTGAAGGATGTGCTGCTGCTCAGCAACAACTGTGTCATCACCAGGCATTGTCCAGGTGAGTTGTTACTAGCTAGACAACTTGTTTGTTATGTCTCTCAAGCTCTGCATCCATTTCAGATCCACATGTCTCGCCCAATTTGGACATTTCACGCATTGGAGCACGCATCATTGATGAACTCGTGGTTGTGATGAAAGACGTGGGGATCGACGATACCGAATTCGCCTGCATTAAGGCATTGGTCTTCTTTGATCCCAGTAAGTGCAGCAGTTAACGACATCGAGTTGCTATAGATTTCAATATAAAGCTACGAGCATGCAGCAGAGGCAATTTATCAAATCTCTTTTCTCTTTTCATTTTAGATGCCAAGGGTCTCAATGAGCCGAATCGCATCAAGTCCTTGCGCCATCAGATACTCAACAATCTGGAGGATTACATCTCGGACAGGCAATACGAGTCTCGTGGTCGATTTGGCGAGATTCTGCTCATTCTGCCGGTGCTGCAGTCAATTACCTGGCAGATGATTGAAACAAATCCAATTTGCCAAAATCTTTGGCGTCGCGCACATCGATTCGCTGCTGCAGGAGATGCTGCTAGGCGGTAAGTGGAAGCGCGCTATGCAACTTGGACATCTATTTAATCTGTATCCTTTGCTGCTCGCACACAGGTGAACTGGCAGACAATTCGTTGCCCTTGTCGCCGCCCAATCAGTCCAACGATTACCAGAGTCCAACGCTGGCGGCAATTTGGATGGCAGTCAGGTTAGCTCTACCCTGGACACGCTGGCATCGGCGAGTAGCGGTACGCATGGCCTGGATCTGGATGTGCAACAGATACAGGCGCTCATCGAGGCTAACAATGCGGAGGATACGTTACGTGCCTATACAAATAACAATGCTGCTGCCGTCGCTGCCGTTGTTGCTGCCACTCCCTCGTCTGCCGTACGCCTCCATTGAGCAGCGCCGCCTGCAGTCCGAAATCGCAAGAGAATGCCTACATGGATGCGGCGGCATCACGTCAATACAATGTCCAGCACAAGAGTCAGCTAATGCACAGTCCACAGCGAGTGCATCCCTACCAAAGAGTGGCCACATCGCCGGTCGATGCCGGCCTCGGAATGCGCAATCCGGCGGACATCACGCTCAACGAATACAATCGCAGCGAGGACAACAGTGCCGACGAGCTGTTGCGTCGCACGCCCCTCAAAATACGTGTGCCCGAAATGATGGCGCCCAGCTATGTGATGGGTGCGTATACCCTATATCTGTAGATATTTAATTTGGAGACTTATTTGAATCTTTTCTTGATTTGCAGAGCCATGTCGCATGACGCTTAAACAGGAGCCCGAAACGGGCTATTAACTGGTGCAATAATCTAAGTGACATACATACACACACACTACCCTTCCTTATGATACCCCACCACACTCTACCCTATTCTACTCTACCTCCTCTACAGGCCCCCTCTTGCTAGCTGCTAAGTGCTATACAACAAAACAAAAACAAAAACTTACTTAATTGTTATTGACTTGAACTTTTTGATACAGTTTTTTTATTAGAGTCTAAGTAGGTATTTTGGAAATTGTTGCTTAATTTGTAAACACGCAATTGCAATCTATTTTATATTTTTATTCAAAGGATTTGCTCAAAAACTTTAAAGTAAACTGTTTGTTGGTTATCTATAGATATATTATACATATTATGCAGACATATGTATATAAATACATATATGCAATACTTTGTTTTAGGCTAGGGTGTTGTTTAGTAATATGAAATATATGATTACGTTTAATCAGTAGTTGATGAAAGTTGAAGAACTATTTTTATATGAAAAAATATATATATAATTATATAAATACTGTATGTATAAAATACAAGTTAATTTAAAATGGCTGAGTGAATAAAAACAAACATAAGAAATGTATTGTAAAAAATTAAATAATCGTTTCTTTATTATTTTTATAATGTTGCAGGCTGTTAAACAATACAATGAATTCCAAATAAGACACGATTTGATTTGAATTTGGCGCGCATGTTAACGCAATTTTGACAGCGTCGCAACTAACACTTATTTCGATATATATCGCAAGGAAGAAACACATTGTGTCGATGTAAGATACTTGTTAATATTATCGATGAAAATTCATCGATACATAAACCTCTAGCGATGATATGAAATAGTACTCACAGCTGACGAAAGGCCCAGCACTATTATTAATGTCATTTCATTTTTCGTTGTGCGCAATAAAGTTAGCAGCTAGCAGATCAAAGAAAACGATTATATGCGAAAGCAGGAAGACCAGCTTGGATAAAAAAAAAGCTAGTGAAGTCTGTTAATACATTTTTGCCAATATATTAACATTGAAAAAGAAAAGTTAAATCAAATACGCACTGCAAAACTCGACAGCTAGACGAACAGCAGATTCAATATGTTCGGGCATAAGCTTATAGTATGCACGACTTTGCTCCTGTTGAGCAGCTCTGGTGAGTAAAGCTAAAACTAACCCCATACCGCGTAAACGCCCGCAAAAAACTGCAACTCTTTGTTCAATTTACTTGCTTGTTCATCGCAATTTAATTTCTGTTGTGTTTCTCTTGCTGTTTCGCCTATTGGCATCCGCTTGCACGCACGTAACCCGTTTGACGGGCTGATGGATGTGTTTCTATTTTTTTGTGGTTTTATCTACAAGGGCTGTTGGAAACAACACAAAATCGCATGTAGAATAATTAATACGTATTAAACACATTTACGTGAGTATGTCAGTGTGTGTGTCTGCAGCACATTGACATTTATCTGGCTTGTGACACTTTTCTCGTGGTTGTCGTTGGTGCAGTGTAGGACAAAGTGCTAAAGTAGAATCTAAGAAGTCTAACAAGATGGTGGCTTAGTACCGCTGCAACATAAAGTACGAACAAAAAGGCGAAGCAAATGCAAGCGGTTTCTTTAGCTCTGACTCCAGTTACGCATACATGCGTTATTGTTACTGATGCATATATGCATATGTTTGTTTGTATTGTATGCTGGCGCTTATCTAACCGACAAGAACAACGTTCTACCTGCATAGAGCATGAGAAACGGCAACGGGCAGATAAAACAATTTGCTTTCCTATTTCTCTCTATCTCTCTTTCGGCTTCTTCAGCCGGCAGCAGCAGCAGCCCCCGCATTGCATATGTACGTTCGTTTGTATGTAAGTGTGTAGCAGAATGCAGGCATATTCAATTTCTCACTGTTGCCTGCTTCTCCGCTTTTGCTCTTTGGCTACACTTTGCCGTCTTCTTTTGTTGAGCCTGACATCAACAATTTAATTATATTTGATTCACAACAACGCTTAAGTTGTTTATTTATTTAACTTGCTTGTTGTTTGCCTTAGGCATAACCGCCCCCTCACATACACGTATATATCCCCTTTATCAGTAAGCACTAAATGCAGGCGTATTTGTGATATAGCAGCAGCAACAGTCGCAGAGATGTGGTAATTCCCCCTAAACTATTTGTTGAATGTTTCTAGAACAGAGCAGCTGCTGCATGTTTTTAATATAATAGTCGTTGGCAAATTAAATTTGTATACAAAAATAATTGCTTAAAAACGAGTTTTAAAAATTGTAACAATTTGTTTTAATTTGTTCATTTGTTAACTATTTAAAAATATAAAATAAAAATAAAAATAAAATAATAGATATTTAATTATCTTAAGCTTAAATTTTGTTTGCAATTTGAGTATTGACTCCAGCAATATCTTTGCTGCGCTGCATATATCATTTTTATATATAAATTTAATCAGGCTTATACTTTCCGTTCATTAGCTGCATATGTTTATAGCTATATATTATTTATATTTGTCTAATCTAACTCTTGCAATCCTTCAACAAAGACGCAGAAAGTATACCATCTATATATATATTTACATACGACTGTATATATACATAATATATATATTCGTGTATTAGTTTCAGCTGCGGAAAAATCAAATTGTTTATTTGTGCAAAATTTTTGCTGATAAGATTTTGTCACACATACTTGAGAACTGACTCGTATAACTGTAGAATAAGCCTGATGAAGCTATAGGACATATTCATACATATATTTTTGTATACATTTGAAACTGGCCCGCATAATTCGAATAGGATCGATTGTTGATATGCGTCATATAGATCGGAAAAGTAAGCGAATTTAGAGTGGAAGATATTTTGGGAAAAGTTAGCCAGATAATATGCACTATATTAGCAGATAAGAATAATTATAATATAAATATAATGTTAAAGGTTTCGATTAAATATATATAATATATACAAACGAGTCTTAAAGCCCTCTATTAAGTATAAACTGAAGTAATTCCCTTTAAGCTTCTGAGTTTACATAGAAACTCAATAATGAGAGTTCTTTCATTTGATAGCTAATACATTGATATAGATATACATAGTTTTATAGATACTTATTGGAGTTACTTTGTTGCATGCTACATATATTTCTAAGTTAAATTATTCCACTTTCTTCAAGAAGCTTAAATTATTTCCTGCCACAAATGCAATTCCTAAAACGAGAGCAAGTATTAGGAAGCATTTCCTTTGAACTTTAATTAGAGGTCTCGCATTACACATGATTTTCTAGTGTGCATGCCCATGGCAAATAAATCTTATTAGCTGGCGCAGTTTTCCTGGAATTTTCCAGTTACGCCTGAAAATTGTATTGAAGTTGTCTCTCTGTCCGTTGTCTGTTTCGAAAGGGGTTTGGGTTTGTTCTGGTTATTTGCTGTTTGCTGCTGCTTAACTTGCATTTAAAGGTCATCTCTGCAGTCGTGTTACAATGGCATTGAACTAGAACGATGGGCGTGCCAAGTGGGGGCGGTACGGGGCCGTAACGTGTTACCTGTGTGTCTTGAAAGTGGCAACTATAAGTACCTTAGCTTTTACTACAAATATATGAATATAATATAATAAGCTGCGTTGAGTCATTAACTAATGGAAGAAAAATATGTGTATATATAATATATATGCAAATACAGATATAGATACTTTTTAAGCTTGCAAAATTGTTGTGACGAACTGTAAACTCAACTTTATAGATAAAAACAAAGAGGATTGAAATAAAAACAAGCTATAATTGAGATACGCTGTTCGGGTAACGAAAGCGAGAGTATAAGATAAATCACAAACTATCTATACAACTCCAGAAGTAGAGCATTGGACAGTCCGTTCGAGCCGTTCTCAACTTTATTTATTTACAACTTCTGCGACGTTTAATCGCCAAGTTAAACGGAAATAAGTGACGCACATGAAGTAGGGAGTATATGGAGAGTATCTATAGGTCTATCAGTAGCAACTGTCGCTGAATAAACCCTTTGTGCGTGGCGAGTGCAAAGGTTTAATTGAAAGCCTTCAAACACTCCACAAATCTATGTCACTTGCAACAGACACGCCCACAAGTATAGACAGCCGTCCTGCCCCTCGCCCCCACAGCCGTTGGCCAACGCATGTACTTCTGGCTGTTTGGTTATCAGTTGGCGACTGTGCAAATATTTATATTATTCATCAATGTGACTCAGACAGAGCTCTGAAAACTAAGAGGGCCGACGCAACAATATAATGAAATACAAAGCGCTCGACTAAAATTTTGTTATTCATTGAAACATGATAATTATATTAAGTCGACTCTTGATTCTACATGAAGTGGACGAATGGATGCCTGAATAGAAAGCGCTGTAAATGCTTTGTGGTCGTGAATGATATATTTATAATATAAATGTATAAATATATATATGCACATATATATTTCTTAATTGAATTATACGTTTAGTATATATGAAAGGTAACTCGGCATTTATATACGTTCGTTATATATCGTATGTAGGTGAAGAGCTGGAGGTACGGGTAGAGATAGAGAGGGAGACTCTGAATACATAGTATTTATGGGCATATGAGTTTACCTTTATTTATTGCCTAGCAAAATATAATGTATACTGATATTACTTGGATTTTGAATTTTACACTTTCAGTAATAAGTATTGCCTGCCTAGTCTAGTTTGCTATGTCGAACTTTCCCCAATTTCTTTAAAGAAAGGAAGGATTTACTCTACATATGTATAGCTTATATGGTCTTCCGCCTATCTCATTCCGTAACTGCTTCAACAAACGAAGAATACAAATGAAAGCCAATCGAATTGAACAGCTCTGCCATATTTTCTTAAAACGTGGCTAAAGACTTGGCAAAGGTTTAATGACCTGTTAACAACTGATAAATGCAGCGCATATCGTTTATTTACACATCAAATAATAAGGAAGACCCACGCAGACACACACAGATAACACTTTTTAAAGACACAATTGTTTATTAACGCACACCTTTATTTTCATCTCTTGCAGTTTACTCGCAGTCGCTGGGGGTGAGCTTGAAAATGCCGACTTTCCCGATCAGGAAAAGCCGTTAACATCGAGCAGCAGCAGCTCGACTTCGACAACCTCAACCACGGCTAAACCGCCCATAACCAGCAGCTCGAGCACCACTTCAACAACGTCGACAACAACAACAACAACTAGCACTGCGGCCCCAACAACCAGCACTGTGGCACCAAGTACCTCGACACCTGCGCCCGTGCCAACCACTACACGCAAGCCACAACCGTATCCAGAACCAACTGCCGGCTCATGGAACTGCTCCTGCATTATGCTCACCATGGCAGCTCAGCTCAACTTACCTACGAGACAAAGAGTGAGTTCTAGTCTCTCTCAAGTCCTCCAATCACATTATTAACTTTAACTCTTTGTAGGCGGCAACATGTCCAACGCCCTGTTCAACGTGCCCAGCACTGCTAAATTGGATCATTGCTTGTGCGATAGCCGGTCACGCAGTTCATGCAGCTGAATTGGGGTTCAGTTGACTCGCAGGAATCGTTGGTGCTGCACTGGAGAACAAGAATAAGTCCGTTTCACTTACTTACTTCCATCAAAGTGGTCTTGCCGCTATCCGCTGCAGATTTCCCCGATGCTAAGGGTAAGTGCTTAGAGAGTAGAGAGTAAGAATCGTTTGCATCGCTGGGCACAGTTATTGGCAGTTGCCTTCATCTGGATAAATTTAAAATGGATTTTCCTTGAAATTTTATCTTGAAAAAATAGGCTAAATGTGTGTAGGATCCAGAGTAGAGTCCTGTTTACTTTGATAGAAATTTGTGCAGAAAACTAGGAATAATGCCTACCTTAGGCGTGGGTTATATACATATTTATGTATAACAGATTATCTTATCTTTTATAAAGGTTTTATATTGTTTCTAGTTATAAAAGCTGATTACAGCTAGCCATGTGCGTCTGTGTGAACACGTATTAGAGCTGTAAATGGGTCATAAAATAAACTACTGAACATATTCAGTATTTATTTGCAGATAAAGTATTCCCTTTGGTATTGATATGTTATATATGATTTATAAAATTGGTTATTCCACAAAATCTTCAAGTTATTTATTTGAACATGAATTTTGGAAAAGGAAATGTTGTTCACATAATTAGCTTGCCCAGAGCAGATGCAAATCGATCCCAATTTTATTTGTTAAGCTAATTATTGTTATCGTTATATTGCAGAGAATCAGACCATTCAGTTGATACACAACAGCCAGAACACGGACTTCAAGACGCCCGAGAAGATGTCGTACCATTGCACACGCGTCCAGAAGTTCAACATGTCGGAGACCATCAGCGGCAACGAGACCATTGGCACGATCAGTGTTGGCCATGTGCAGGTGGAGGCATTCCGCAGTGCAAATGCCACTGGCTTCTCCACGGTGCACGATTGCGACAGTTCGGAGACCTCCGATGTGGTGCCCATTGCTGTGGGCATTGCCCTCGCGGCTCTGATTCTTGTGGTCCTCATCTCGTATCTGTGTGCGCGTCGTCGTTCCACCTCTCGCGGCTACATGAGCTTCTAAGCTGGTGTAAATAAGATAGCGATAGATAAAGAGAGTTTAGCAGAGAGAGAGAGAGAGAAATGTGAGGAGTGCCCAGGCAGTTGGCAGCAGTTGTTGTTGTGTGTGTGTGTGTGAGAGAGATTGAGCGAGCGAGGGGAGCGTAGGGGTAGTTAGTGCGTTGTAATCAGAGAGAGTTGTAAGATTGATTTTCTAATGGCAGAACAGACAGAGAGGGAGAGCACTAAGCGAGGGGAAATAGAAAAGGATGCAAGAAATTAGAAATTTGTAAATTTGTCAAACGGTTCTTCTAATTTTTTGATTTTGTTTTATTTTATTAATTTTTTGTCTAAATTACAAAGGGGAGATATTAAAATCTAAAACCAACAATTCTGTGTGTATGTGTGTGAGCGTGGCATTCTTAAACTTATCCGTAATCGTATCAAACTATCAAATTGAATCTTTTAATTACATTTTCTACGATACAAGCAACAATTATACTTCAATTTCAATTAAACGTCGAAAGGTGGGAAACGCGCGTGCGAACGTAGGGGGGAGTAGGAGGAAAGAAATACGATACTGTGGCAAGTAACGGTTATTACGTAAATGACAACAACAAACAGCGAAAAGAAAACCACACAACATTTTAAAAAAATACAATTATATTGATTTTAAATTATAACCGTTAATAAACAGCAACAAATTATGTATTATTTGCCGCTTTGAAGCGTAATAAACGATAAACCAAAAAAAACATTTAATTGGAATCGCTTGCGCAAGCAGTTCAACGTATCCGATTGGAATGTTGGGCTCAAGCAGTGTATACACTGCTTACTGGATGCTCACAACAGCCGCTGCGTTGAACTGCTTGCGCATTGGCGGTAATTTTTAATTCGGTTATTTGGGGGCATTTACAGTCAACACTCGGTAATTGAAAAACTTTCAATTGCAAATATTTTAAATTAGATTTTATTTATTAAAAAATAGTAAGAATGTTGCTTCTTCTACATTCTTACTCATGTAAATTTACTAAATGGGCAACAAACTGTCCGCGTTCATTTCTGCATCATCGTCCGAGTCGTTGCTCTGCTGTGCGCGATACATGCCAGTGCGAGGACGTTCGGCAGGCGGGCCCAACGGATCCACATGCTGCTTCACTGTTAAGACGTTTATTGGATTAAGCTGGCGATGGCTTCGAGTGCAACTTACCTGAGTAGGAGCTGCCGCTTTGAACGAACTGTTCAGCACTGTAGCCACCTGATGAGCTGGACACGAGCGAAGCGGAGATGTCGCTATTCTCCTGCAAACGTTCCTCATTCGAAGGTCGCAATGCTGTAAGGGGCAGATAGCAAGAGAGATAGCAAATAGCCGTTGTGTGCTTGCTTACTCACTCTTTAGGTTGCTGCTCCTGCTGCCTCGACTGGAGGTGGCCGAGGAGAGACGCTGCTGTTGGTAACGCTGTTCGTTTGGCGCTCCTGCTGCTGCTTGTGCAGCCTGGCGTAGTCCTGGCTATAGCGCTCGTGCAGCTCGGACATACCCAGTGACTTGGTCCTGCATCAGCGCATCACCCGCACACAGGTGAGATTGTCGGAAAGCGGGCATAGATTCTCGAACATGCCCAGATATTGCTTGGGCGGCAGATACGAATTGCGAAAGCAGCTGGCAATGCGCAGCATTAGGTTCGGATCATTGGGATCGGCGAGCACCGCACGCTCATAGTAATAGAGCGCCTTTTCCGTGGCCTGCAGCTTGATGTAGTAGGAGCCAATGGAGCTGGCTATGTTGATGTCGCTCATGTTGATGCGGTACGCCTCGTTGTAGTACTGATTGGCCTCCTGGTGATCCTGTCGCTGCTCATACATGCTGCCGACCTTCTCGAACAGACGCGAATCGACATCCGTCGCCGAGATGCCCAGCACCTGGAGGTAGGCCTGCAGGGCACCTGGCGAGCTGCTCGACTTGAAGCCCCCCGACGAGGCGCTGCTCAGCCGTCGCTCCTGCAGCTTGGCCAGCTGGTAATAGACATGACTGTGCTGCACGGAATGCGGCTGCATGAGCTGAGCCTTCAGCAGCTCAAACTGCTCCTCGGCCAGCTCAAAGTCCTGCTGCTTCAGCGCCAGCAAGCCCAAATTGTAGTTGGCCTCGAAGCTCGTCGGATCCAATTGCAGGGCGCGCTGCAAGCGCTCGCCAGCCGAGCTCAGATTCTGATTGAGCATATCGACAATGCCGGCATTGACCAGGGCCAGTGCACTTGTCTGCAGCGCGCCCAGCTCCTCCTGCAGCTGATTGAGGCAGTGCGTCGCCATCTCCAGATTGCCCAGCTGCAAGTTGCCGCAGGCATTGGCTCTCTAAGTTTATAAACAATTCGAATTGGCAACTTACATTAATATAGATAAAGCTCAGATTCGTTAGCGCGCTGGCCGTCATGGAGCTCTCGCTCTTGCGATCGTACATCTGCAGCGTCTCAATGGCCTGGTTGACGTCGTTCTGGCGCAAGTAAGTAGACCAGCGCCTTGTTCAGCTCCAGCTCGTTGGCCAGCCACGACAGATTTGATGTTCGGATGACCTCAATGCACCAGTTGTAACCTGTTGCAAAAGTCAATGCTGGTTAATGATATCAAAAGGTTTGCTTATTGCAAGGTGAAATATTAATAAATATTTATTATAAAATTATTAATTATAAATATATATAAATATTATAAAATATAAAATGCTTTCTGTAAGCTAACAATATAACAATATTATTCTCTTCTAGAACAACTGAACTAAACTGAAGCTGAGCCTCTTCAGATACTTCAGTTAACAGAAAACTTACAGAGAAGAGTTAAAGATCTTCCCAACTCATAGATTTTTACAGAAGAAGCTCTTTAAATTCCTCTTGGATGAGCACTTCAAATTCTTAGAATTTCTTAGAATATTCTATAATAGAAACTGATTATTGTTAAAATATGATCAAGGAGAAAACCAAACTATAGAAATGTTTGGATGAAGATTACCTAAAATCTCCCTCTCCCTCTTTTCTCTCTCTCCTCTCTCTCTCTCTGTCTCTCTCTCT